CAATGAATTTAAAGAAAAATCAGTTAACTACTACTGAAATATTCAAGAAAACAATTTAGGTGTTAAAAACAAACTTTAACACTTCATAAAGTAAATAGTCTCCTTTTGGAGAACTGCAAAATGGGGTAAAAGGCAGGAAGCTTTTATAGGTTAAAGAATAAAGAAAAAAGAAAAAATCTGATTGGTAGGGACCATAACACTCAACCTTGCTTAGGGTGAGTGATCCAGAGTTGGCCTGGGGTTTGGGGATTGGCTGACTGGATATACTGTGTTTCTGGTCAAATAGAGAATTTATAGAAACCCAAACGTTATCTAAGTTCTAGTTTGCTCACAAGGCACCCCAGGCAAGGGCCACTCTATCTTGGGCCTAGAAAGTCATTTCAATGATACATAATAAATGTTTGATGAAGGGATAAGTAAAATTGCCGATAAAGTTGAGACTGTCAAGTGTAATACTACCTACTGTATGTTGAGAGCTAACCATGTGTTAGGGAGTTGATTGAAGTTCTCTACTTTGATTCTTATAAAAACACTATGGAGGAGCTGGGGTAGCTCAGTTGCTTAAGCATCTGACTCTTGGTTTTGGCTCAGGTCATGATCTCAGGGTTGTGAGATCGAGCCCTGCGTTGGGGCTCTGGGCTCGGTGTGGAGTGTGCTTAAGATTCTGTCCCTCCCTCGTCCTCTGCTGCTCTCCCCACCTGAGTTCACATGCGTGCATGCGCGCTCTCTCTCAAAATCAATAAATCTTAAAAAAAAAAAAAACAAAAAACTAAAAAACAATATGAGGCAGATATTATTGTTCCCATTCTATAGACACCAAAACTATCCTTAGACTATACCAAAATGGACATGTAGTTTTGGCGTTTGGCACAGCCAATGAATTGGGGGATAACTCAAAAGGAAGTGTGTGGTTGGTTCCATAAACTGGCATCTGAGAAAGTGACATGCCTTTTTATGCTTCTCTCTTTGAATTAATATCCTCAATTAAGCTGACATGTTTGTCACACTGCACCAGTACATTGTGTGTCTTTAAGCATGCTGGTGAGCTGAGGAGCCATGATTCAGTGCAGTGGAGAGCTCGGTTTTTCAGGGCACTAAGGGGTCAGGGTGGGTAGTGAAAGCACAGGCTACATTGAAATTCCTGAAAGCTCATCTTTTGAAAAAGGTGGGGGGCAGTGTCTGGCTGGCTTAGTCAGTAGAGCATGTGGCTCTTGACCTTGGGGTTGTAAGTTGGAGCCCCACATTGGGTGTAGAGATTACTTAAAAATATCTTTAAAAAAGCAAAAACAAACAAACAAAAAACACCAGGGAGTGCGCAAAGCAGGGTAGCACATCACTTTGCAATGCTTCGTTTATAATTTACTCAGATAAGTCTGTAGAATGTCAACACAATACAGGTAAATTGTTGACAGCTGGAGTGAACCAACAGAAACCCCAAAATACAGCCTAGGGTCTTTTAGATTAGTAATATTCTTTCATAGAGGAAAAAAAATGGACCGGATTGTCAGAAAACATGGAAAGAGATTCCTATGCACAAAAATCCTAATGGGAGAAAACCAAATTGAAAAGTACGTAAATATTGGGAAATAAAGTGGACACTGAGAAATGAAAAATTATGCTGACTCCCCAATATCACTTTGTATCATACCAAACAAATGAGATGTAGATAGCGTCAAACTTTATTTTGGGCAAAGATGTAGTGCATTCTTTGGCGCTTTCTTGTGTTGAGATTACTTCCCAAATTCTTGCTTGGTTTCAGTGTACTGATGAATAACCATGGACTTAAGTGATAGCGGTCTATCCTTTTAAATATCATGTGGATCTGAATGTTTCTAATCTCTGCTTTTATTTGGCCCAATTATCTGATGTAAAATTGCTTTTAAAATGCTAGGTCTAGTCCTCAGGTGACAGATTGCACACCTGTTAGCTCTACAACAGGGTATGTTTGAGCATCTTCTTGGCCTTTATTAACTTCAGGAACAGCTACCTGACTCTAGGTACTTGCTCCAGTGGTTGGAGGCTGTTGTTAGAACATGTCCAGAACATGAGAAAATTAGATGACCTTTGGCTTCTTCTCACCTTTGCTTCTGCATTTACTGTATGGGGGACATGATATGTATCTATCAGATTCTTTTCTTCCAAATATGTGCCATAAATGGCAGGACTGGGACATGTGACATACATTCCTGAAACCAAAGAACTCCATTGCTTTCCCTGAAGCAAATATCATAATTCCATTGAAAGCTTGATGTTGTTCTTGATATTTCACGAATGAGTTTGCTTGGGGCAAGGATGGGAAAAGGAAAGACCTGTACTTCTGTACTGTAACCTTCCACTGAGTCCGTCTTACCCTTCATATCTTCTCTCCAGAATTCTCCTCAAAGATTGATACACTCCTCATCTTTGATAAGTCACAGTTGCTTTGCCAATCACTAGCCAAACAAATCTCAGGCCCTCACTTTTGTGTTAATTTTAATAGTTTACCTAAATCACATCTGGGATCCAAGAGAATACAAAGACACTGTATGGAACACTGAGATGATGTCACAAAAGAACATCATGATATTTGTCTAAATCTTTTAAGTCTTTTGGGCACAATGTGTAATTTCTGGGTTAATCCTTGAGATCAAGTTCAAACACACAGAATTTATGTACAACATGCTTCTCACTCCAAAATATTTAAATGCTTAACTTTTGTTACTATTTAGTATTTTATGAGGTTCAAAAATATATCAAATACTTTACTAAAAGTCATGAAACAGGACTGTAAATACATTATTCAGAACTTTTAATAAACTCTAGTCACATTAATCTCGTGGCATTAAGGAACTTATGGAAATGGACTAATTCAACCCATACTGTCACCTTGCATTTCATCATGTTTTCTACTTTTTTATGGTCGATGAGCATGACAGTATGGAAATAGTATAAACCAATATGTGAATGAGAAAGTATCTTCAGAGTCAGAGCTGGGACTTGGATACAAAGTTTTGTAACTTTTTGGCTACACGACCTTGGGCAAATCATTTAATTGCAGGAATTCTTCCCTAGGAATCTTTTAAGAATCTTTTTTTTTTTAAGATTTTTAAAAATTTATTTATTCATTAGAGTCAGAGGCAGAGACACAGACACAGGCAGAGAGAGAAGCAGGCTCCTTGCAGGGGAGCCTGATGCAGGACTTGATCCCGGGACCCAGGGTTCACCCTCGAGCCAAAGGCAGATGCTCAACCTTCTGAGCCACCTAGGTGTCCTGGGATCTTTTAAGAATCTAATGAGTCACTGACACAAACATTCTTCGTAAAGCAAATGTCTCACATCATATTAGACAGAAAACTGCATCTTAGTGTAGAGCAGGAACTCTGTTCAGAGAGGCCTTTGATTTTCACAGTGATCACCACTGAAGAGAGAACATCTGACCTGTGCCATAATTAACCTTTAAAGAGCAGCCTTTATAGTGGGATCTCACTATATTTTTTAATGTGTTTGAGGCACTTATAGAAATTAAGATTGTTTTTCCTAGTTCCTCCAACCGGCAAACGCAACAGAAACTATGAGCCAGGCACTATATGAAGCACCTAACAACATAAATGAGCTCATGTCACCTTCACAACCACGCTGTGAGGTCAGTGCTGTGGTTACACCCATTTTTATAGATGAGGAAACCAGGGCACAGACTAGAGAAAAATCCAGACTCAATCATGACCACAGCTGAGAATTTTATCCATATTCACTGCATTTAGGACTGTTTTATTCTATATATTTTCTCCTACTCCCATAAATGAGACTCATGTAGGAAGAGTACAGAACACTATTTTTCAGTACTTTTGGGGTAAGAAGGAAATGATGGACATAGATAGTCCACAAGCCTGGGATCATCAGACAGCCTGATGAGCTGCTGGTTACGCCGAGCTCGCCGAATATGCCGTGTGCAAGGCCACACAGTAAGTTGGGAAGCCGAGGCTCTACAAGTTTCCAAAGTTTCCATGGGAGGAGAGCTGCAAATTGCAATGAGCGTATTCCTGAGGAGCCTGCTTACCATAGTTCCTGAAATGGTTATTGCATTAAAAGGGTATGTAGAAAAATTTCCAGATTTCCCAACCACGAAGTCTGCACCCCCCTTTGGCTTTAGCCATTGAAACTTGTGGTTTGGGCATGAAGCTGGAATCAATAACCTCTCTAGCACCCTGTGCTTTGCCTGCCTGCTCCAGAATAGTCTGTTCTATGTTCCATTCTTTTAGGATTTACTAGGGGATTAATCAATCACTTAAGTTGAAAAATCTTTTACTACTTAGAGGTGATAACTTGACTATTTGTACAGGGGTCTCCATACCTTAGCCTCCAACAGGAGTGACTCATTTGGGAATGTAAAAGCCCCATGGCAGCTCCCTGGGCAGCTGTTTGGAGGTGGTCCTTTTATTATATATACCTCATAGCTTGCTACGTGTCAAGGCAGCCTTGGCCAGTCCTGGATGGCTGCAAAGGGAGCCCAGTGGCTGGAAATTCTGGTGGCGGCAAGTTTATTCAACTGCACAGTGTCTCTAGGCTTCCAGAAATGTGTCTAAACAGGAGCCATAGCAACATATTAGCTTATTTGGGGCACAATGATCCAAAAACTTTAATTAACTGAAAAGGACCCATGTAGGAGGGGGATTTACTCCAACTCTGAGATTTCCCTAAAAACAGGAGCAGATTTAAAATCCCTGGCTAAGGAGCTAATCCAATTAATGAAGGCAGTGAGCAGAAAAATGAAACATATTTTACAAAATTATTTGAAAAGCCCAGGATGAAAGAAACGTAGAAGAGAACAATGGTACAGTGTAACTACCTTTTCAAACCATGTGGCTTCGTTGAGCATCTTGCACCCCAGTTTCTATTGTCAAGTTTTCAGCAGATCTTTCAATACAACCACCAACCGAAAAATTCCACATAACTCAAGACAGTAATTTACTCACAAAGGAAACACACCTGCAACTTTATTAATAACCAACTTCTTTTTTTTTTATTAGAGCGGATACAGTTGTGAAAACTGTACATTATACATTTTGGTTTTAAGGATTATAAATAAAGGAACTCACAGGTAGGGAGTTCTTTTTCACAGCAAGAAACTTTAAATAAACAAGGTCATGTTTTATTAAGTACATTGGCAGACTTCATGTGCTGTCCAAAATGTAGAGTACAGTATAACAACCCATTAGAAAGAGCCTTTCATGTAAAATACAGCTGTGCACATTTTAGAAAAATACCAACAATTTGAGCTTTGTTTTTTAAAAAAGCTTATAAATCATACATATATTTATAAATGGAACCAACATGCTCACTTTATAAACATATCCTTTAGTTATCTGTTACCCATTATTTCCAAAGCATTACACGTTTTAAATAAACACTTAATAAGATTAAATATTGTATTTTTTTTTTTAAAAAATCTGCTTTCCCAGCATCAAGAGCTACAGGGTTAGGAAGGCGCAGTGAGAGTACTGAGACTGACACAGGAGCTTAAATGTTTCTTGGCTAAAAACGTACTTCCTAAATTTAAAAGTCAAAGCAAAATGTAAAAAATAAATAAATATACAAGTTGTAATTTTCATTTGCTCTCTTTCTGCTTTCTTCTTTATTCCATATTGGTCACACCCAGGATTCTCAACATATTGCACTTCTGCAAAAAACATCACTGGGTTACTACCCTGCAGATGACAAAGCATTCAGTCCACAACCTGTGCTAAAATGTGAATTGTCTCTTCTGCATTAAAAAGGTAGCAAATAAGGTAAAAAGAATCTGATTAAACCATGCAGATCGTGAAAATATTTAGGAATAGCTAGCTCCTTCTCCACAATGTAATGTCTTCGAGAAATTTAAGATACCTTTCCTCCCCTGATTTCTTTTTAAATAATTATTTTTATAAAGACCACGTAGTGTCTCTAAATAAGCATGCTTCTGAGTAATAAAGATGAATTATAAAACAGCAAAAAAAATCAGATTATGTCAGAATAACAAAGGACTGCAAAAGACAAATATTTAAATAAAAATGTCTAAGCCTTTAAAATGTGAAATAAAATTACGAAAGGACTTTGAAAAACACGAAAGGCGTAAAATCGAGAAGCAGAGGTTTAACAAAGCTTTACGCTCTACCTGAATGTATTCAACAAAAATTTAAGTTGGAGAAAAAAAAGAGCAGTTATTAATAGCATCTTGCTTAACTTTCATGGGAATTAACATAGTCACTGACAAGATTTTATTTGGTTGTAAAGTACGTCAGCAATGAAACTGAATCCTTTAAACACCGATTACTGCAATCCATGCAACATTTTGACTACACTTCTTAGAATTCTGTTGTCCTTCAGCTTTAAATTTAGCCTCTTAAGTGCATAAATAATTCATCTCAGTAATGTTAAAAATATTTAAAATTATTTCTTAGTAAGGTACGATGCCTTCACATTGCTAAATTTTAAACAGCCCGTTACAGGTTTAGGAAGACTAAACGGCATGAAAAAAAAAGAAAAAAGATGTATTGCTATCGAAATGAACACATCTTCTCTAGAGTGTTGTTGCTTCTTTTCCTTGAGATGCAACAAGTGTGTCTCATCCAGCCAGGACCACACGTTGTAGAGGACTCTACATCCTATTTCAATAAACAGCAAAAATGAACATAGTCGTGCACAAGCAAACGAAACGTTCTCTCCTGGAACATTCCAGGAGATGTTTAGAGCAGCAGGTCATGGCATAAGACTGGTGAGTGATGCTGCTACCTATTTCTTCTAATGAGATAGGAGTGAATGCTGGAACCATGGCCACAGCAACACAGTCCTCCGACCGCATTCCTCGGGCAGTCGTTTGTTTCCCCAGCTCCCTACTAAAAACGTCAGATGGTAAAATAGTAAGGCAGCTGTTGACTTCCATCAAAAAAAAAAAAAATGCAGCTCCATACATTTCCAGTTTAGTCACTCTCTGCTAGGACAGATGGAGTAGCCAATGCCAAGAACTTCGCCGGATGGGGCTGCTTCAGCAGATTTTAAAAAAGAATGATTATTAAGTTTTGCTCTCCGACACGGCTGCTTGCTTCAGCTCCCAGAGGACCCCAAAGCCACAAAGCATTCCCAGGGGAACTGAACAGGTCCTCTGGCTGAATTTTCCAAGTGTCATCTCTTTCGCGATCCCATCCTAATTCCAAGCCTCCTTCCCTGAGTCTGAGTCTGACTGGGGTGTGCCATTTAAAGGGCTGATGATGCCAGGCAGAGAACTGTGCGCTAACACCGCTAGTTGTCATGACTTCACTGAAGGGTCAAAACAGTTACATCATTAAGTAACTATGTTGAATCACATTCAGGCACAGCCAAAATTTAAAGTGAAGGACAATATGCAGTTGTTAAAAAAATATATATATAAATTCGAATACGGGAAAAGAATGTTATATGCGGTGATTTCATGTAGAAATTAAGGCTATTCTTACCTTTCCTAATTCCAATCAAGTTAGAAAGTGAACAAAAAGAATGGCCAACCCGATATTCAACAGCATGACAAGGACAATCATGACTGAATTGGGGCCCTGGAAGTGAAACAGAACAAAAGGGGCATAATGTTTCCATGTTAATATCAACACTCAAACTAGCTCATAAAATCAATTACCAAAAATATAAAAAAACTCAAACCCGCTGCAGTAAATAAAGCAGGAACAAATGACAGCAGCTCCAAAAGGTATAAACTAAAAATAGCAATGCCATATTTAGATGGAGCCGTCTCCGCACTTTCACTACGAAATGAATCCAGTCTTGATTAAGTCTAAAAGAAAAAAAAAAGACTTACAAATAATCTAGTTCATTCATCTCAAAACCTCTGACAACAGTCCAGGTGAGGGTTTGCCACAATGGGGTTAGGGACTAGTGGAAGGTGGACAGGCACTGTTTGTGAAGATGTAATTTAGGTGAGAAAGAGTTATCTCCTCAGGAAGGCAGTTAGAATAAGAGTAAGAATAAAATCTTTAGGGTATGAGGCCTCTCAGGAAAAATGTAGGACTCTTGCTTTTCCTGGTCATAGTTTTGGACACCACCCCATCCTTAAAAATTGCCAGTGGGGAGTTGAACACTTGCAGAAATTATTTTATAGGTCTAATTCTTTGCTTTTTTGCTCACAGCTACAACATGCCAGAAATCAAGTTCTTTTTAAAGATTTTATTTATTTATTAGAGAAAGAGAGAGCAGCGAGAGAGAGCATGAGGAGGGGAGGCGGGGGGAGAGGGAGAAGCAGGCTCCCCGCTGAGCAGGGAGCCCATTGTGGGGTTCGATCCCAGCACCCCGGGATCATGACCTGAGCTGAAGGCAGGTGCTTTACCGATTGAGCCACACAGGTGCGCCCCAGTCAAGGTCTATTTAATAAACTACAGAATCCTATTTTGATAAATACGGCTGTGATAAATACCAGCAACTCAAGGTACCCAAACTTTGTTTAAACAAAAACCCACCTTATGACCTGTCTTTTCAGAGCTGCTCATGCTTGGCTGTCTTTATTAGAGACATGATCTTGGTATTTACTATTAAAATAGTGTATTAAGTAGTATTAAATGTGTTTTAAATTGGCCCTATGAGGTGGGTGGGGTAGTATTTTAACTGTTATTTTACAGATGAGGAAACAGTTTTACTATATTTGAGTATCTAATGAGGCTACATTGAAACAGGGTAACCAAGTCCTTGAATGTGGTATTGGTGTGATTTTTGTTGTGGGGGAGGTAAGAAGGACTGGAATTGTAATTGGTCTAGTGCTCACGTTGCAAGGTCATATCCTTATAGAGATTTCCTCCCCAGATGGGGTCACAACTTCCCTGGCAGAGGTCAGGACACCCCAATCATTGTCTATCCTAACACCTCACACTTTGTGACTTCTTGTTAGTTTCCATCTTTCCCTTAGACTAAGTTCCGTAGAGGCGGGAGCTGTGCTTTGCTCACCACCGTGCACCTGCACATACGGGTTGCCCAGTCCATCCAGGTTTTCATTAGGAACACCTACTATCTCATCTGGTACTTTTCCAGGTGCTGTGGATGTGGTTGTTGACCTTATTAATTCACCGCCTTAAATGAAGAACACAGTGATTAGTAAAAATCAGAGTGGGGGAGAAAAGGAAGTAAAAATGGGTATCCTTGAGATAGGGACTACGAGGAAGAAGTAAAGCCCCAGTCCCTAAACCCCCAGTAAATGAGAGGAAAAAGCACAATTAGAGGGTAGGTGTCTTGCCCAAGGTTACTCATCCAGTTTAAACAAATTACAGAACTAAAATTAAACTTCGTCTACTTCAGAGCTGCTGTTTTTTCCCCTACATCCTTGTTACAGCCACAGGACTTAGTTTAAATATGATAATTTCTAATCAAGTTCTTGAAAATGGCATTTTCATCTCTATCTCTCTGATTTCATTGTAGCAGAAAACCATCAAATTTTGATATAACCAATTGTTCTTTTATAATAGTTCCATTCTAAGTTATTAGGAGGGTCCTAATCTATGTAACTCTTCAATAATAATTTACTTAAAATGTATGGTATAGGAAATTCTTATAACTCAGAAAATAATTGAAATAATCTTTCAACGTCATAACTCAGCATAGAGATTAAAGAAATGCTCTTACTACCATAAATTTTTATTAGATTTTTCTCATGAATATGATCAGAAGTTTGGATTCACTTAACTCTTTTGGGTCAGTGGATTTAATTCATAATTCCTTTCACACATGAAAGATGAGGAAAAGTATATGGGGTCAGAACACCACAATGTAGAGTTTTAGTGTCTTGGTCCTTTGGACCAAGGAAAAGTAGAACAACACAGAAAGTGCATTCAGTGAATCTAACTTCTCAAGTCTAAGGTATGTCTGGACCTTAAACTCTTATTTCATAAATCCTTATAAGGTTCCATGAATTTATCTAACTTTTTGAATTAGTTAGCATTTTTGGATGAATGACATATTTATATACACAAATATATGCAAATATATGTAAATAAGTATACATATATAACACAGACACATATATATTTATCCAACTAGTACAACTCCATTTATAAAGCTATTTTTAAAGATGACTCAGTGAAGATGAGGGTAAGGCAGCAAAAGAAAGTTCAAACAGCAACCAGGTGAAAAATAAATTCTGGGATGCTATGTTTAATAGGCAGATATGAAGACGTGACCTCTGTGTTCTTCAGATACCTAGGCTGGGCACAGGGTGGGGAAAGCTTTAAGGTGAAGTCTCATAAACATGACTGTGGTAGCCAGTTGTGGCTTAAAATAGCAAAATGAAAAAAAAAATCAGTCTTGCTTTTCAAGACTGACTGAGACAGGTGTAATAAAAGAGGCTGCAGCAGGGCAAAGGGTAAGTCTTGATTGGAAGAACTTTGAGACAGAAAATAATAAAGTGTGGGAAATCAAAATATGGAAAGAAGTTCTAACTCAAGAAATTTAGCTTTTTTTTCTTCAAAAGACTATTACTCATTTAAAACTGTGAGGAATCTTCTGAAGGGTTACTATAGTTTGTTAAATCTAAAACTTCTCTAAAAACATGAACAAAATTCAGTATTAATAGCCAAATTTATATATATTCACTGTTTGTAGGGTGTTAGTATGTGTACATGGTTCAAAAGGGTGTGACACGGATGCTTGGGTGGCTCAGTCGGTTAAGTGTCTGCCTTTAGCTCAGGTCATGATCTCAGGGTCCTGGGATGGAGCCCTGCTTTGGGGCTCTCTGCTCAGTGGGGAGCCTGTTTCTCCCTCTGCTCCTTCCCCTACTCATGCTCTCTCAAATAAAATCTTAACACCCCCCCAAAACATGACAGGGATGCCTTGTTTTACAATTCAAAAGAAAGGTAAGTTTCAAAATAGACTTGGAAGACAGTAATGGCTAAGAAAAAGTGCAGGCAGTTCTCAGAAGAAGTCAAGATTCCTAATGAGAAGACCCCTTGCTAGTCTGGTTGATAAGGCTGTAATGTCTCTTCTGGCTCCTACCCAAGTTGCCATGTTGCAAAAAATGTTGGTACCACATGGAATGTGTTTCCATGGAACATCAGTCTGTGTGCAACCATGGCTCATACGAGTCACGTTTCTTGAGAAGCGTAATCTGTGGCATAGCCTCCTGTCTCTTACCACTCACACTCGAGTGTTAGCTTGTGTCTCAGAAGATTTTCTGTATTTCTAGGAAATCAATACCCAGGGTGATCCTGAGGATGGGTCAAATCTATTGGAATATTTATGAACTAGTTTATGCTTCAACTACTACAGTACAATAGCCATTGTACTTTTGAGCACTTACTATGTGCCATGCACTGTGCTAAGAACTGGGTAAGTAGTAACTCATTTAATTTTCCAAACAACCCTATGATATAGGCAGAGATGAGGAAAACTACTCATGGAGCAGTTAGGAAACTTGCCCGAGGTCACATGACTGAGAAGCAACACAACTGGGATTTGAACCTAGGAAGTCTGGGACCAGAGTCCACACCCTTAGCCTCCAGCCTATCCTGTCTCAGTCAATAAGCTGGTGACTAAAATTCCAGGTCCCAGGGTACTCAACCACCCTAGAAATGACGAATCTGACTCATACTAGATCTCTTGCTCACAAAGAACACCGCTTCACTGTGGTTTTCCCTCCAGGGTGTGCTTTCCTGTGACTACTCCTACGAATTTTCAAGTTATTTATAAACTTCTAACTTATACAGTGCCTATCTTAAAACTGTATGCAGTACTCTTTCGTTTTAAAGGTGGTTCATTAACTACCTTTATGATGATCTTATCACTTCTAAACTGTCAAGTAAACAGTCATCAGGAGTGCGAAAGGCAGCTTTCTGTTATTATCAGGAAAGAAAGGTTAATTGTTAAAATCTTCACATGAAGGTGCCAAGCCAATCTTGACTTCTGGTTCCTGGCATGCAGAGTGCTAGGCTTTCTTTCTTTTGGGGTATAGAAGGATCCCTAGAGATCAACCTACCAGGCTGGAGGATGCTTGGCTACCTCCAAGAATCAGACAGTTCTGCACATAAATAAGATACTTCTTCTAAACAAGGAGGCTATGAATTTATCAAACATTAGTAACATTTCATATAAAGGGTCATTGACCACCTCTTACAGAGTTCTAGAAGTCAACTGAACCCCACTACTGGGTATGCCCAAGATAGAAACTATATGGCCTTGCATTGTTTGAATTTCACCCTTGTAAATCAGGCAAGCTAATAATAATCGACTTAGTCTGTATTAAAAACCATTTATCCCCATGATCCCCATGCAGGATGATTCTCAAGAAGTTAATCTGATTAATCGAATTATATTTAGATGATAAACCTAAGAAACACCAAATGTAAGTTAATAAAAAAGATGAACTTCAATTATTTAACATTGTTACTATTTAATTGTGAACAGTGTAACTCTGTTAAAATGGACAAAAGAAAAAAAACCTAGTTGTATTAAATTCTTGTTCATCAGTTTATAATCCACACCTTTATGCAAATGACTCAGAAATTACTAGTAAATATTGGGTCAGCTGTGGCTTTTCCTAAGCTACATTTAACATGCAACACCACTGTTCCAAAAACAGTTTATAAATTCTATAGAATTTGATAAAGTATGAATTCCATATATCATTCAACAAATCTCTACATGCTCATCAAATGACACAATAACATACAGCTTTCTGGTTGAATACTTAAAAATGTTAAGATTCTCAAGACTAATTGATAATAAAACTAGCATTTACCAGAAAACTAAAATTTTAGAAGCATTTATACTCTGAGAAGTTAGAAGACCAAAGTGATTTTAAATAGTTGGAAAGAAAGAAAATGTTCTAGTGGCAAAGCCTGACTAATTAAGTAAAATACAAACTAAATATTTAGGGGAATAATTCACAACAGCTAGAAAAGATACTCTTTTGTTTAAAGTTGCTGACTGGAGTATTTTTCCTTCTCCTTCACTTTTAGTCTATTTCTTTAGGTCTGAAGGGAGTCTCTTATAGGCACACAGACATAGATAGGTCTTTTTTTTCTATCTAATCCTTTATTCTATGTCTGTTGTGAGGATCAAAAGCAGGACTAAGAACATAGCAAATGGTGATGGAATCCTCTTCCCAGCTAGGGCTCTGAGAGGGGGTGTCCATTCTCAGGGCCCATGATTCCTTTCTAGCCAATCGGAGGATTGAGTTGTAGTTACGGACTATGTGTCCATGTTCCTCCAAGATTCGTTTGTTGAAACCCTAATCCCCAATGTCATGGTATTTGGAAGGGGGCCTTTTGGGAGGTGGGCCCTGGGTCATGAGGGGTGGAGCCCTCATGATGGGATTAGTGCCCTTACAAGAGACCTGAGAGAGCTTGCTCTTCCTCTTTGCCATGTGAGGGAACAGCAAGAAGGTCTATGAGCCAGGAATTGGGTTCTTACCAGACATCAAGTCTGTGGTGCCTTGATCTTGGGACTCCCCAGGCTCCAGAATTTTAAGAAATAAATAAGAAATTTTGTTGTTTAAGCCACCCAGTTTATGGCATCTTTGTTATAGCAGTCTGAACTAAGCTACCACAAAACTTACCAAGAAGTGAGTCAAGGCTTGCTAACGTATGATGCGAACAAGCTGGCTACCTGAATGATGTCTAAGGTGGGTGGCTGAGCGAACAGGGAGGAATTTCTGCTTGGGGAGCTCTTTGCTGTCCCAGGATACAAATGTGCTAACCTCTATTCTACATAGAGTTCGTCATTAGGACTTCAGCTAGAGAAGCTGTCATCAAGATGTAAGTCACCCTGTGCTGCTACCTCAAAGAATCAAAAGGAAGAAAAAACACATCTTGTACAACTTACTGAATTGGCTTCTTTTTCCAAAGAAGGGCATGAATCGTTGCTTGCTGGATTCTTTGGTATAGCAAGTTCAGACTTCTTAGCTTTTGGCTCAGCTTTGCTTTCTTTGGCAACTGGTTTTGTCACAGATTTAGGGGGACTCCACTTGTTGGGTGATGGCTTGTGCACCAGCGCTGAGGAAGACTGGCTTGATCCTTCGTCTTCCTCCATGTCTTCTGGAGGGTGCTGGGGGGCGTTCAGTTTCACATAGTAGCCGTGGTACTGAGAATGCAGTTCCCCATTACTGGGGTTGGGGATGTGGTGGCGGCCAGAGTACTTGGACGTGGGCACCATGGCTCCCACCTCCTTCGTGGGAGCCTTTGACATCAAAGGCTTATTGACGATGGCTGTCACGTGCTCATCAGCCACACTCCGTTTGTCTTGGTTGAGTCTTGCCCCTGAGCTGGGGTTCTGCTTCTTCGTGGGTTTTGGGGAGGAGGGCTGGGGAGAGTGGCTTTGTTTGGGACTTGCTTCAGGAGACCTGGGGGGTGTCGTGCCTTTGCGATAAAAATGAGGAGATTCCTTTGGTGTAGGTGGCTTTTCTGGTACTTTTTCTTCTGGATTTTCTTTAGCATCTACACCTTCCTGAAATCTCTGTTTGATATAATCTGGGCCTGGGGAAAAATTGACAACAGAAGAGAAGCTAATAAAAATAACGCATAAAGGCTGTTCCGTAAAGCAAAAATATGCATTTTTGCTACATCAGATTAGCCATTCCTCTTTTTTTTTCTTTAAAAATATTGACAAGGCTTGGATTAAACATGAGTACACTTCATTTCCCAGGGAAAAGATTATTTGTTGCAGAAAAACTTAATATTTACCAGTATTCCTACTATTTTGATAGCCATAAAGGTCAAACAATTCTGACTTCCTAATAATTGCAACATTCCTACCTGCTTGCAGAACACTGAGGTGAAATTCATGTTGATGAAGCACTGGATAACACCATATGTAATCTGCATATTTAAATTATCTAGCATAACTAAAACACAAAGTATATACTCAAGCTGACTTACATGTTTAATATATTGAAATATTTAAATTGTTTAATAAATTAACATTTAACAGAACATCTGTGTAAGAACAGAATCTGCAGATGACATTTGTAATGCTATTTCATCAGAGGATCATTTACTTTTTATTTCTTTTAAATATTTCATTTATTTATTTGAGAGCCAGAGCATGAGGGGGGAGGGACAGAGGGCAAGCAGACTTCCTACTGAGCAAGGAGCCTGACATGGGGCTCAATCCCAGGACCCCAGGATCATGATTGAAGCTCAAGACAGTTGCTTATTAATCCACTGAGCTAGCCAGGCACCCCATCAAAGGATCCTTTAAACTTTCTGGAGTCCTTTCACAGCAAGGATCCATTTCACTATTTTCTGTAAGCAAAGACATGTCCAGTTGTCCTAGACACTCTAGTCTTAGGATTTTTTTCTGAATATTTTAGGATTGTTTATAACAATCATGTTATTCTTTTAAATGGAAAAATTTGTACTTAAAGAAATGGACCCTGGGTGCCTGAGTGGTTCAGTCATTGAGCATCTGCCTTCAGCTCAGGCCATGATCCCAGGGTTCTGGGATTGAGCCCCACAATGAGGTCCCTGCTTTCTCTCTCTTCCTATGTCTGCTGCTACCCCTGCTTGTGCTCTCTGTCAAATAAATAAATAAAATCTTTATTTTTTTTTAAAGGACCTTGGTATAAGTGTTGCTATCAAGTGTTTTTTTTTTTTTTTTTGTTTGTTGTTGTTTTTTCATTAGCAGGGAGTATCTCTTCCTACCTCTTCATTTTCAGTCTATCTCTTTAGTTCTTAAGTGAGTCTCTTATAGGCATAGAGATACAGGTAGGTCTTGTTTTCTATCCATCCTTTCACTCTATGTCTTTTGAATGGAGCGTTTAGGCCATTTACATTTAAAGTAATTATTGACAGATATGTATTGTTACCCCAGTTTTTTTTATAAATACATTAGTTCAGACAAAATAGATGTTAAGACAAAGACTGTAACAAGACATGAAGAAGGGCAATACATAATGATAAGAGGATATAACAATTGTAAAGATCTATGCATCCAGCACCGGAATATGTGAATACATAAAGCAAATATTAACAGATATTTGTCTTCTGCCTGGCTGATCTATCCATTGATGTAAGTGGGTGTTAAAGTCTCCTACTGTTACATTATTGTTATTTTCTCCCTTTAAAAGGGAGCAGTGTCTTTGAATGAAACATTAGACTAGATGGACTTAACAGATGACATACAGAACATCCTATCCAAAACCAGAAGAATATACATTCTTTTCAAGTGCCCATGGTAGATTCTCTAGGCTAGATCACACGGTAGGCCACCAAACAAGTTTCAATAAATTTAAGAAGCCTGAGATCCTATTTTGCATCATTTCCGACCACAATAGTGTGAAATGAGAAATCAATTATAAGAAAAAAACTCGAAAAAAACCATAAATGCAGAGACTAAACAATATGCTACTCAACAACCAAAAGTCAAAGAGGAAATAAAAAAATACATGGAGACAACAAAAATAAACTCAAAATGATTCAAATCTTTGGGATGCAGCAGAAGCACTTCTAAGAGGGAAATTTACAGTAATAAATCTCAAACAATCCAACTTTATAAGTAAAGGAACTACAAAAAAAAGGGATAAAGCCCAATGTTTGACATTTAGCCAGACTCATTAAGAAAAACAAGGACAAAATAAAATCAGAAATAAAATAGCCAGCACCCAGAAATATGAAAGAGACTACTGCAAAACTTATCTGCCCAAAAATGGGATAACCTAGAAGAAATGGATAAATTCCTAAAAACAACATACAGTCTTCTAAAACTCAATCAGGAAGAAACAGGAAATCTGAACATATCAATTACTAGTAATGAAATTGAATCGGCAATCAAAAAACTCCCAACAAAGTCTAGGACCAGATGGATTCACAGGTGAATTTTACTAAACATTTAAAGAAGATTTAAAACCTAGTCTCCTCAAATTATTCCAAAAAATAGAAGAGGAGGTAAAAGTTCCAGTTATTCTATAAGGCCAGCATTACCCTCATATCACAACCAGACAGACATTACAAAAAAATAACAGGCCAATAACTCTGATGCACATAGATGCAAATTCCCAACAAAATATCAGCAAATCTCATTTAACAATACATGAAATGAATCATTAACCATGATCAACTAGGATTTATTCTGGGGATGCAAAGGATGGTTCAATGTTTGCAAATCAATCCATGTGATACACCACATTAACCAAATGAAGGATAAAAATCATATGATTATCTCAATAGATGCAAAAAAAAACATTTAATAAAATCCATCATTTACTCATGATAAAAATTCTCAACAAAGTGAGTTTAGAGGGAACATACCTCAACATAAGAAAGGCCACATATGACAAGTGCATAGCTAATATCATATTCAGTGGTGGAAAACTAAGAGCTTTTCCTCTAACATCAGAAATAAGAGTGTCCACTCTTGCTACTTGTATTTAACATTGTTCTGGAAGTTCTAGCTGCAGCAATCAGACAAGAGAAAGAAATAAAGGCATACAAATTGGTAAGAAAAAGAAAAAAAAAGGCATATAAATACCTACCATTTGCAACAAGATACTAATATAGAAAACCCTAGGGGCACCTGGGTGGCTTAGTCAGTTAAGCGCCTGGCTCTTCGTTTTGGCTCAGGTTATGATCTCATGGGCTTTGCACTCACCAGGGAGTCTGCTTGTAGGGTCTCTCCCTCTGCCCCTCTCCTCACTCGCATGTGCTCTCTATAATTAATAAAATTTTTTAAAAAGAGGAAAACCCTAAATACTCCACCAAAAAACTATTAGAACTAATAAATGAATTTGGAAGTTGCAGGATACAAAATTAACATATCGAAATCTGTTGTGTTTCTATACACTAATAATAAAGTGGCAGAAAGAAATTAAGAAAACAATCCCATTTATAACTGCACCAAAAACACTGATGAAAGAAACTGAAGATGACACTAATGGAAAGATATTCCATGCTCATGGATTGGAAGAATATTGTTAAAATGCCTATTCCATCCAAAGCAATCTACAGGGTCAATATGATCCCTATTAAAATACCAAGAGCCTTTTTCACAGACCTAGAACAAATAATCCTAAAATTGGTATGGAACTACAAAAGACCCTGAGAGCCTTAAGAAAAACAAAGTTGGAGGTACCACAATCCCCGATTGCAAGATACACTATAAAGCTATAGTAACCAAAATAGTATCATATTGGCACAAAAAATAGATCAATGGAACAGAATAGAGAGCCCAGAAAGAAATCTATGCTTATATGGTCAATAACTCTATGACAAAGGAGGCAAGAATATACAATGAGGAAAAGACAGTCCCTTGAGAAAACTAGACCTCTACATGCAAAAGAATGAAAGTAGACCATTTTCTTAAACCATACACAAAAATAAAAATGGATTAAAGACCTAAATGTGAGACCTGAAACCATAAAGCTCCTAGAAGGAAACATGGGCAATAATCTGTTTGACACCAGCCGTGGCACCATCCTTGGGGATGACAGTTATACATTTTCTAGCTATGTCTTCTCAGACAAAGGAGACAAAAGCAAAAATAAACCATTGGGGCCACATCAAAATAAAAAGCTTTTGCAAAGAGAAAATCAATAAATCACAACCTACTAAATGGGAGAAGATATGTCCAATAAGGGGTTAATGTCCAAAACCTTATGCAAGAACTAATGCAACGTAACACCAAAACCCCCACAATTTAATTGAAAAATAGGCAGAGGACCTGAAAAGACATTTCCCCAAAGACATACAGATGGCTCACAGACACATGAAAAAATGCTAAGCATCACTAATCATCAGGGAAATGCAAATCAAATCCACAATGATATCACTTTACATCCTCAAAAAATTAACAACAGAAGTACCATATGATCTAGTATTCCACTATTGGGTATTTACCCAAAGAAAATGACAATACTAATTTGAACAGATCTTTGCAACCCTGTGTTTATTGCAGCATTATTCGCAATAACCAAGATATTAAAGCAACCAAGGTGTCCCTTGATGGATGAATGTATAAAAAAGATGTATATACACACAATGGAATGTTATTCAGCAATGAAAAAGGAGATTCTTGCCATTTGTGGCAACATGGATGGACCTAGAGGGTTATTACTCAGGTGAAATTAATCATATAAAGACAAATAAATACCACATGATTTCATTTATATGTGGAATCTAAAAAGCAAAACAAACTAAAAGCAGGAACAGATTCATAAATACAGAGAATGGATGGTTGCCAGAGGGGAAGGGAGTGGTGGGATGAGCAAAATGGGTGAAGGTGATTGGAAGATACAAGCTTCCAGTTACAGAATAAGTGATGGGGATGAAAGGTATAACATAGGGAATATCGTCAATGATATTGTAATAGCATAGTATGGTGACAGATGGTCACTGTACTTGTGGTGAGCAAAGCCTAAATGTATAAATTTGTGGAATCACTATGCTATACACCTGAGACTAAAGGAACATCTGGTGGGGCAACTGGGTGGCTCAGTCAGTTAGGTGTCTGGCTCTTGAGTTTGGCTCAGGTCATGATCTGA